CGTGTTCAGTGTTCACTATAGTCACTATCACAATATCGTAATCTTAATTATTCACAGCCATTTAATAGGTATTTATTATTTACAAAATACTAATGACTATTAGCTATAGGTATTGGGTAATTGATTTCATTAACCTACGATCTACTCGTATCTTGTGCAATAATTGTTTCGCCTTTGGGCGTTATGGATAAAACATGTGCAACTTTCAATTTTAAATATAATTGTTTCATTGTCGTCCTCAGAGATTGTTCGTAAGTACATCTRTTTCGTAAATCTAGAGATTTCCAGAAGCTTTTTAACTATCATTGTATCGAATATTTTAATTAGGTTATTTAGAAATTTCTAATATTTTTAAATAATTTATTTTGTTCATTTTGCAATAAATTTTCTAAAAWTTCACCTATAATAATCAAAAATATTTTTATCATTAGCTAAAAATCATAAATTTAAAACATATATATACTCGTCGACCGTCGTGGTCACTAGATTTCTGCATTCTCTTGGTCAATTAAAATGGAAAATATCTTTCTACTTGTTATATCTTATGCAAAARCACCTTGGGTAGGTAACACAATTGTTGAAATTACATATAAACCCAACAAAGACTTATGAATTTCTGTAGTCTGTGTTACTAATTGCGCCACAATATTTAAATACCTACATCAATAATTTAGAAACCAAGTCAGACCAACAACTTTTGACATTTTTCATTAAAAATTCATAGATTAACATAATCTTAGATATGATCCTTTTTAGGTAGAAATAAATTAAAAATCACATTTGATCTAAACTAGAACTATACCAAATTATCTGCTTAATATTTTGCAGTAACACAGATTGATTTTCAATTGAAAAAAAGAGTTTGTGTAGCTATAGGCAGTGTCATGAGAAACATTTATAAACCATGATGCAAAACATATATTTCAATACCTTTCCATTCTTTTTTTTTTTTGTAAGGAGAACCCRCGGCAACAWAGGCCATTAGGTGTGGGGTGGTACGGTAGGGGTTATTTTTGTATGTTTGTTTGTAGGCTTTTAAGTGGGTAGTTTTGTAACACGTGTTTATATATGTGTGGCAAGGATATGTTGCTAAAAATCCTGGGTGGTCACCCATCCGGGAGCTAGCAACTGCAGCCGGTACGTACGCTCAGTGAGTTTCCGCAGATTGAGCGTACGACCACGCCTCACCAAGCCACTTTCCATTCTTTATTCAAGTACCTATATAATATGTATAATTATTGTGTGAATATAGATATTTTAATTTTTACTTTATATTATTGGTAGCCATGTATCCAGTGACCTTACCCTCCCCAAAAAAAGCTAATAAAGATCATATATTTCATACATTTAAAAAAATACTTACAATACATTGCTATTATTAATTGGTGTTGATATATAGTAAGTTGTATGTTTCTTTCATTGAAAAGATTAACATTTATGTCCTTGAAATTTAGTTTATCTTATCTATATTCTGTTATATTTATTACTCGTAACACTCTATTGCTTTCAATATAATGACAACATTACTTGAACAAAATGTCTATTTCTGTATAGTTAGGTAAAATATTTATGTTTTAATTTTAACTAATTTTATTTAAATATATGTAATTAAATTTGTTTTTTAAATTTAGATTGGAGTATTAGTATGTACTTGTATTAATTTA